CCTGCCACAAACACCCAGCTGTTTTTTAGAGACAGGGTCTCACTCTTGCTCAGGCTGGTATTGAACCCATGAACTCAAGCAATTCACTAGCCTCAGCCTTCCAGAGTGCTAGGACTTCAGGTGTGAGCCACAAAGCCCGGCCCAGTGATCATTTCAATGTATTCTAATAAATATAAATATCTGTTATCTGATTCTCAAGTTGAAAGTTCTGGTAGATCTGAAACCAAAAATACTCAAATCATCTACTAATCAGCTTCCCCATAAACGTGACTGATCACCAAAACCACTTTAGCTTTAAGAATTCTGGGTTTACCTAAAGAGATTCTGATTCATTAAGTCTAGAGCAAAACATGGACTCTGAATGATGGCTGGGCATATTATATGTCATCAGTTTATTATTCTGTTTCATTTGTAAAGTTTTATCACCATTAAGATATAAACATCACATACTTTTCTATTTCCCACAGTATCTATTACACATAAAGTAGACATTAATAACTCCAGAACATCTAAAATCCCATGATAATATCTAAGTTTATGTGAAATAAAACTGGTTACATAAAATCCACATATTTGGGAAAATACTTTTTCATCACATCTCTGCTTTATAAATTCAGAAATCCAGAATTGCAAAAGCTTTTTGCATTCACATTGCCATGTGTTTTTACCTGATAATAACATGTATTCAATGAACGTATAGTTCATAGCTCCAGAATCTATGTTTACCAATCTCCTGCCCTTTTAAATTCAGACAAAAGCAAAAAGCCCAGGAGTATTAAACTTTGTCCCACTACCAAGATTTTAGTTGAGAGCCAGGTTTTCTCCAAACTCCCCTGCTATCACCTCTTATGTCTCCCCTTTTGCTGAGAAAGTAACAGCTTCAATTTATCACCATAGACAGGACTAACAAGTCAAAAGAGAGCAAGCCTTCTACCTTTATGCCTTTTACTCTTCTTTTTTCTGGAGACGGTTCTCTCATGGATGCTTTCCTCCTGAGCATCAATCTCATCACTGCTGTCAATGATGTCACAGGGCTCACCAGCCCCAGAAAGAGCTTCCTCTGTAGGAACCTGGGAAGCTTCCAAGCCACAAAGAGATTTTACTAGAAGAAAATAAGGAGAGAATGAGATGGTACACAGCTCCACCCAGAAATACAAACAACTGAGCCAAGATATCAGCATCCACCAGGAAGAGGGAAAAAAATTGTGTATTTGCTGGAGAAAGTTGAGACTCTGTTGCTAATTTAAAAAAAAAAAAGAAAGAAAAGCAAAGGGAAGGAAGGAAATAAATTTTAGTATATTAAACAAAAAATTGGAAAGCAATGGACAAACTGACTCCAAAGTTACAGAAACGGACTCCTTAAAAGTGTGGAATTCAGCACTGAAGGGAGTCCACTATGAACCCCTAGAGCAGGCGTCCTCAAACTGCGGCCCGCCTAGGACATTTATCCAGCCTGCCGGGTGTTTTTTGCCACCGCTGCCTGTCCTGCTTAGCAGCCGACTCATCCTGGGGCCCGCAGTCCGGCCCTCCAACGGTCTGAGGGACAGTGAACTGGCCCCCTGTTTTAAAAGTTTGAGGATCCCTGCCCTAGAGAATATAACAAAAGGTGAGTTGTAGTCTCATAAATTTTGAGAAGCAATATTTAAGGGGGA